TTTTCTGTGCCTTTGAGCTGGTATTCTTTTCCTTCTTCTATACCTATTATTCTTAAGTTTGGTCTTTTCATAGTGTCCCAGTTCCTGGACATTTTATGTTATGACTTTTTTGGCTTTAGTGGTTTTTTTGACTGTTGAATCTATTTCCTCTACTGTATCCTCTACACCAGAAATTCTTTCTTCCATCTCTTTTATTCTGTTGGTTATGCTTACAACTGTAGTTCCTGTTTGTTTACTCATATTTTCCATTTCCAGCATTCCCTCAGTTTGTGTCTTCTTCATTGCTTCTATTTCACTTTTCAGTTCTTGAACTGTTTCATTTACATATTTGATTGCTTTGTCTTGGTTTTCTTTAAGGGATTTACTGATTTCTTCCAAATTTTTGTTTGTGTTTTCCTCAATTTCTTTAAAGGAGTTTTCATTTCCTCTTTAAAGGCTTCTACTATCTTCATAAAGTTTTTTTTTTTTAAGATCATTTCCTTCTGCTTCTTCTATGTTTGATGTTCAGGTCTCGCTGTTGTAGAACCACTTGGTTCTGGTGGTGCCACATTGCTCTTTATGTTGTTATATGTATTCTTGTACTTGCAGATGCAAGAGGTATCTGTGTATGAGGGAGTTGCTCTTGTTCCAATCTGTGCTGGCTGTGTCTGTGTCTCTGGGGGCCACTCTTGGTCCAGTTGGAGCTCTTGGTCCAATCAGAGCTGGAGGATTTTGTGTCTCACGTCAATGATTCTTTGGGGGATGAAAACAGAAAATGAGTTTTCTTGAAGAGGAAAGGTAGGCTTGAGGTATCTACAGAATTTTTTTTTTATTTTTAATTTTGATAGTGGACATAATTCCTCTGAAGTAAAATTGCCAATATATACAAAATACTCTAATTCTAGTAGCAAAGGAATTATGCTAAACAATCAACAAATGGGATCTACTTAAGCTAAAAAGCTTTTGTACAGCAAGGGATATGATCAATCATCTTAAGAAGCATCCAATAATGAAAGAAAATACCTGTGCAACAACAGTACATGTGACAAAGGAGTACTATCTAGAAAGTACAAATAACTCAAAACATTAAGCACCAAAAAAATAAACAACTCAATTTAAAATGGGTTATGGGATTGAAAAAAATTATTCTCAAGACAATAAAAACAAATGATTAGAAATACTTTTTTTTTTTAAGAAATGCTGTTTTAAAACTTGCAACCTACTTAACCATCAGACAGTTACCTTCTAAAACCTCCTTCATCTTATCCTTCTCAGGATGGCTAAGTTCAAGAAAATAAAGGGCAACAAATGCTGGCAAGGGAATGGGGAAAGGAAAACTGTCAACATTATTGGTGGGAATGCAAACTGGTGTAGACATTATCAAAATCACCGCCAGTGAATTTTGCTGTATATTGGCTCCACTACTTTTGAATTGTGCACAGGTTATTACTAGGTAGCCCACATTAATCTTGAAATCATGCTCCTCTTGCATTAATAGCTTCAGTCCTTGACAAGTACCAATAATTTTATTTTATTAAAGGTTTAGTTTCTGAAACATAGCAAATTTTATGATGGGCAGTTACATTTTAATTCATGTAATTTTAATTCATGTAATTCCAGAATAGTTTTTTATGTGGAAGGCTTTCATAATAAATGATTCTAAGATGCAAAGTATCTTCTCACATTACTAGAAAAAGGAGACATAGTTTCAATGAAAACTTCCTGATCTTCTGGCTTTTAAAAATTTTATCTCCTCTTTCACAATGTTCCCTGAGCTTTGGGTATAAGAGTTGTTTTGTATTGTATCCATTAGGACTGAACTCCTCATTTCTGCATTTAATTTGTGTTGGTATTTCCTAGTGGTTTCTATCTGTTGCAGGAAGATATTCCTTGATGAGGAATGAGAACTACACTTATATATGATTATTAGGACAAACATTTATATAATGAGAGTTTAGTAAAGTAATGATTGTATATGCTCCTGGTAATATCAGAACATAATGTCTCCCTCACATGACTGCTCAAGCATGATCTGAATAAGAGCAACACCAATGGACACAATAAGGTGGAATAGAAAAAAAAAGTTCATGAGGCCTTATCCCAGTACAAAGTCTATAGGCAACAGAGAAATGCTGGGAAATAAAGAGGTGATTTTCCAGAGAAGAGCACACTAATTTATTGTCCAGTGCCTAATGTTCAGCCCATGAAACATAACTACAAGTGAGATTATATGGACTAAGCCAGTAATATTTAATACAAATGTATATACATACAAGCAAGCAATAACAATTAGTGAAAAAAGAGTCCATTGATTTGAAGGAAAAAAGGGAGGGCTATGTGAGAGGGTTTAAGGGAGGAAAGAAAGGGAGAAATGTTATAATTATATTATAATCTCAAATATAATTAAAAAGTAGTTTCCCCAAAGAAAGCAGAAAATTTTTTTCTAGGTAAATTATAGTAATGTTAATATAAATTTTGTACAAACCAAATTCAACTGAAAACCAACTGAAGTGTTAGCTCTAGGATTTTATTTTATTTCTTTATAATCATCGGGGACTCAAGAGATAGAAATGGATTTTACCAAGGCTTTCTCTTCTCATCAAAGATTCATTAGCAATTTCGTTTGTGTTTGTGTTTGCTTCAATTTGTGACACTGGCCTAAGGAGTGTATTCTAAATAAACTCTAAAGTAAGACATTAATGTACATCTTATTGCTTTTTTTCATAAATCGCATGTTGTAGTTTTACCATTCTCTCTTCCCATTTTCTTATACTCATTATAATAGCCCTCAAATGGAATGCCTTAGGGGAGCTCTTAAGTTTTTGATAATTTCTTCATTCCCATGAGAAACAATAACAGCTTTTAATAGTATATGTATTACATCTTTTGCATCAGAAGTTAACTCCAGGGAGTCTATTCCCTTTGAACCAAGGCACATATATACATGAATGACTCTTCTGCATGTTATAATTATCTCACATTTATTTTCATGCCAAGGGTTCTTTGCTTTTGACTCTCCTTTATGCAAAGATAAGTTTGAATTTCAACCCTACTGTTGAACAGTCTTTGACTGATTTTACACACCATTTCAAAAGTAAGGCCCTTTGATTGTTCTAATTTTGGTTTGGTAACATTATAATGAATGACAGCTCTGTATTGGGTGGTCACTACTTTCCTTATAAGCTGATTTTGAATAGGTTTTTCTTCCATGAAAAATAAGCTAAATTTGTTTATTTGATCCTTCCATTCACACATTGTTTAAATCAGTTACTTTTCAGTGAGCAGAGATATTTTTTATTTTTTGAAATTATTATATTTACATCATTTCTCCCTTAGCCTTACTCTCTAGGAATCTTCCTATATAATCCTACATAAGAAGAATTTTAGTGTGATAAACTTATCAAGTTACAGAGCTAGGATGAGTTGTAATTTAGTCATCAGTTCAAATCTCTTAGTCTACATTTCTATTTCTTCTTCTACATGAAACTCAACTTCATTGTAGAACTTCATAAACCAGTGTGTTCATTCAAAAGGCTATTCTTCATAAAGAAATAATTGTAATCTAAATAATCAGTCTCTCTCTCTATATATATATATATAACTTATAGTAATAATTGAATTATATATATTATTCAGTTATTACTATAAATAACCTAAATGTAATGTTTCTGTCTTTTTATTGCTGTATTAATCCTCTTACAATATGATTCTTTTTATAAGTTTTACATACTGTATAAAGAAAGGGATTCCAGAATTAATGAATGTTCAATCTAGCAAGATTATCAATTAATTTATCATTTAGCAATTACATTACAACTAATATGTTTAAAACACTTATTCACATTGTAACTGGTTTATAGGGATCATGAGGCAATTTAGTTAACTAGGTTCTTTGTGGAAAATCCTCCACCATGCAGGAAAAGTCAAAAGTTTCAGAGGAAATGTCTATTAATAGGAAGATATTTATAGTTAGACAGAAAAGATACAATGTACTCTAAAATATGCATTTCAGACTGAATGCAAAGGTTAATTATCTCTTTGTTTTGTAGGTCTCTTTTGCTTTATGTTATTATATTATTTTTAAAACAACACCAATTAAACATCAGATTCCTGAGACTAAATACAGTATTTTTTATCAAACATTAAACACTAATTTTGTGTTATTTTTTATGATTCTTTGTTGCTACAGGTCAAAGCATCCTTTGATACCATTTACAGAATGGGATATTCTCAGAACCCAATGCCTCTGACTATCTTCTAAGGATCCCTTTGGGAGTTCTTGCTTCTAATAGTCTGCTTTCTATAACACCTCAAAAACAAAGACAACATGTCTCAGCTGTAAAGCACTTGTCTAATATGAATGAAGTCTTGTGTACAATGCCTCCCCCACATTGTATAGACATGCAGAATAGTAACTAATTTTGACAGCATATGTAGGATACCATCACAATACTACTCTATAGTTTATTATTTATGTAGGAGCTGTATATTGATACCAGAGTCCTGAGCAAGTTAAGCAACTTCTACATCATTGAGTTTCATCCCCAATAAATAGTCTTATTATTTTTGAAGAGACACTAGTTGATATATTAGGTGAATTGATATATTCCAAATTAGACATTATTATAGTAAAAACTGTGTAGCATTAAGGACAATTTGAATGAAAATACATGTTGAATTTTCAAACTTATTTCTTGAAGGTTAATAAATTAGGATTTACCTGTTGAAACCAGTAACTTAAATTTAACTTCCTGTACACCTACATAATTGCATGTAAATGGATCCCTCAGCTATGAATCTAATATTTTTTATATCTATGAAAATATTTTAGTGGAAGAGGCAAATGTTGTGTTTCAGGAAATTATAGATGCCTTAGCTATATTTACTAGCAGGATAACCAAAGAGCAAATTCTCCAATATAGATAATATATCTAGATTGGAATTCCTAAGATATTTCTGCTGTACTATTACCTCCAATTTATCCAAATCTTCTATTATTAACAGATACCAAGACTCACAAGTACATGGCAGATGTCAACTTCACATTTGTTACTGAGTTTATCCTTTTGGGACTGACAGATCGTAAAGAACTCAAGATATTTCTCTTCATCTTGTTCCTATTGATCTACCTCATCTCCTTGGTGGGTAATCTGGGAATGTTCTTTCTGATCTATGTGACTCCTAAACTCCACACACCAATGTACCACTTTCTTAGGTCTCTGTCATTTGTGGATGCATGGTATTCCTCAGTATTTGCACCCATATTGTTGATGAACTTCTTTGTTGAGCAAGAAACTATCTCATTATTTGCATGCACTCTGCAATATTTTTTGTTTGCATTATTGGTTACCACAGAAGGATTTTTGCTGGCTGCAATGGCTTATGACCGTTATGTGGCCATTGTAAACCCTTTAATTTACACAGTGGCCATGACTAAAGTGGTTTGTGTTGGGCTGGTGCTTGGTTCATTCATAGGAGGTGTAATCAACTCATTGACACATACTATTGGATTAATGAAGCTGTCCTTCTGTGGACCAAATGTCATCAATCACTTCTTCTGTGACCTTCCTCCACTGTTGAAGCTGTCCTGTTCAGACACCTCCATGAATGAACTGCTGCTTTTGATCTTCTCTGGAGTCATTGCCATGACCACACTCTTGATTGTGGTGGTCTCCTATGTTTTCATTGTTGTTGCTATCCTGAGGATCCGCTCAGCAGCAGGCAGACGCAAAGCCTTCTCCACCTGTGCTTCCCACCTGACAGCTGTGACTTTGTTATATGGCTCAGTCAGCTTCAGTTATATTCAACCAAGCTCCCAATACTCCTTAGAACAAGAGAAGGTTGTATCTGTATTTTATACTCTGGTGGTTCCCATGTTGAACCCACTGATTTACAGTTTAAGGAACAAGGAAGTAAAAGATGCTGTGAAAAGGGCCATGGAGATGAAATGTTTCCGTTGTTGATTTCAGACTGTGTCTGAAAAAAAGACATGAAACACTAAATTGTTTGAAAACTTTACCAAGATATTTTAAGTTTTATTGCATTAAAACTGTAGTGATTATAAAGGTTGTGTCATGTGTTTTACAATGATGCAAAAGAATATAATCATGCATGTCATGAACATACAAATAAGATTCTGTTATCAACCCTGAACCCTGGGCTAGCACTTAGGGTGGTCATCTGAAACAGCTGTTTCATTCCTTATTTAAGATACGTAGAAAGAGAAACGTGAACATTCAGATACTTCAATAAAGTGAGCATAAAATAAAACATAGAAAGGGAAACTTCTCAAAAATAAAAGCAGCTTCTTTCACATTTGAGCCATACACATAAGTATTATGCCACAGAAAAACCATGGTACCCACTGAGTCTACACAACATATAGGTTTGTGTTTACTCCCCCTTCCTAGAGAAAAGCTTTCTTTAAAAGTAGATATATCGTTCTATTTACAGGAATTTTTGCATTAAATTAGAGGGGAAAAAAAGAACCTCTTAGTTACATCGTTTTCCAACAGAATCAATCGTAATTAGAGTTTACTGGAAAGGTACATATATGACAAATGAGTGCTTCTTTCCTTCATACTCCCTTGCTGAGACATATGAGCACAGTCAGGGTGAGATATCTTTAAAGCAAGCATAGAGAAGGGGTATGGACATGTCATTCAAGAAGAATGATCAGATATTCTTATACACAGTAGAACAAAATTATAGAACTTGATAACAGTCTTTTTGGAATACTAAAATGCAGTAACAAGATTGCTGGTTTTACCATTTCTTCATATTTCAAACACCTTTATTTCTTTTCTTTTGAAAGTAGGGCCATGTTATGAAATGACATTAGTAATCAAAAAATATTGTTATCACTCTAAACTTGTGAGTCATTTTTCCAGCCCCAACCAACATTTTTAATGAATGATTTGGTAAGATAGTAATTTAAAAGAAAGGAACGAAATATGATCCCAATATTTTGTTGTTGTTGTTTTGTTTTCAAGACAAGGTTTCTTTTTGTAGCCGTGGATGTCCTCAAACTAACTTTGTAGACCAGACTGGCCTTGAACTGACAAAGATCTGCCTGCCTCTGCTTCCTGAGTGCTGGGATTAAAGGCATGTGCCACCACTGCAGGATGAATTCAAAATATTTTTATTAAACTATTCAACACATGGTGATTAGAAACAAATCTTATAATACAAAATATTTTCAAACATGCTTGCCATATTTGTTATTCAAGAGATAAATAAAAGCAATTGCAAAATAAATCATGTGTGTAAATTTTCTGTATCTGTAGCCTTGAAATCTGATTTATAACACTGTGAGCATAAAAATTTTCAGTTTAGATAAAAATAATTTATATCTATATAAAATATTGGTCAAGGAGGGCCCATGGGCAATGAAATCTATTAAGCCTACTATTGCTTTTTCTTGTACACTATTACTAGGTGGAAAGTTCCTTTCTGCTGAGGATCACAAACATTTGATTATAAGACATGGAGAAATCAACCTAAAAATGATCAGAAAAGTCCCTCCATTCTGTTTAGCTTTTATAGTACTAGAACATTCTATGCACACTGCTGGGGAAGAACTTGACCCTGTATGCTATAAATCTAACCTACCAGAAAAGATGTGGCCACTGGTACAAAGGTGGCAAGACTATTTACAAGTATAAATAACCCGTTTCTGCATGGATTTGGGGCCTGATCCACAGGAGGCCTAGACTATAGTGATGGTTAAAAAAAAAAAAAAATAGCTTGGAAGGCCATGGGTCTTAAAGAAGAATATACTGTTTTTGTTTTTCTCAATGATAATATTGTCAAGCTGCCTTATATATACTTGTGTTTGCGGCAACAGATATGTGCTGTGCTCAATTTTCGTCAAGGTGCTTCTTATTGTAGCAAGTTGTAGTGAATGAAGAGACTAATAACTGGTCAAAAATCTGAGAATAAGCAACTGGAACTGTTAACGCATGGATGGGACATCTACATAAACCTGTCATTCACATCACAAGATTGAGAAAACACCATTAATCAGGATTAGAAAGAATATAAGATCCAGGGGATGATAAGGAGAGCTGTGAAATACTATGATCCGGAAATTACATGCCTCTAACACATGTGATCTCACAGGAGGCATGATTTACTTTAGAAGATTTGCACTAGCCCAAGCCAATTAAATTCTGCAACATGAATGGAGGAGGGGACCTTTGGTTCCCTCCTAGATGAGCAGCTATTGACAGTTTAATTATTGTGAGGGAAAGAGTATCGTTTCTTTAGGGGGTAGTGTCTCTATATGTATTCCTGACTGCTCTTGAACTAGCTAACTGACTAACTAACTAAGAGGCTAAACTTAAATTCACACAGAACCCTGGGCCTCTGCATCTCAATTCTGGGGTCAAAGAAAATGACACCAAAACCCCACAAATTATTGTATGAAGTAGAATAGGAAGGAACTCTTCAAAATAATTTTTATTAGACAGGAACATATAGGCTAATCTGCCTGATTAACGTACACACTATTATTTTCAATAATCTACTTGCAAATTAAATCAAGAATGCATCAAAAAGATTGTCCATCATGATCAAGCTTGCTTCATTCTAGAGAAACAAAGATGGTTCAACATATATTAATCAGTAAAGGTAATCGCGATCAGAAACCAAATGACTATCTCCTTAGATGCAAAAAAAAAGACCTATAACAAAACTGAAATACCCTTTTTTGATGAAACTTTGGCATTCTTCAGATATAGGGGGAGAGGTCTCAATCCAATAAAGGCAACATACCACAATACCATGTTAAGTAGACAATAAAACCAAAATATGGTGGTGCAGGCCATTAATCCCAGGACTCAAGAGGCAGAGACAGGCAGATCTCTGAGTTGTAGGTTAGCCTGGTCTATAAAGTGAGTTCTAGAACAGCCAGGACTACACAGAAAACACTGTTTCAGGGGAGAAAAGCAGAAAATCTAAACTAAAACCAGGAATAAAGATATTTATTCTCTCCACTTCTGTTCAACTGTTAAATGTGTCCATCAAAGTAATGGGAATCTAAAATAACAGGAAAAACTCAATAAACTTCCTGTATATAAACTCCAAGAATACAAAGAAGGAAATCAGGGAAACAATCCCATTCACAGAAGCCTGAAAAACATATTGGAATACATTTAACCAAGCAAATGAAAGATAGACACTGAATAAAGAAATTGAAGAAGAGACAAGAAAATGGAAAGATTGCTACTAGTCATTAATTGATATGATGAATATTGTGGAAATCATCATCCTGCCAAAAGCAATCTAGAGAACCAATGCAATTTCCATCAAAATTTATTCATAGAAATTGAGAAAGTATTCAAAATTCATATGGAAACATCAAAGACTTGGACCAGCGAAAACAATCTTTAAAAATAAAGCACTCCTGGTGGTCTCATTAGTTCTATTTTCAAGTAATACTAAAGAAATAAAAATAAAAGCATGATGTTGGGACAAAATGATAACTTATTCAATGAATTATAATTGGGTTCCACATATAAACCCATACTGCTGCAAGAATTTGATTTTTGAGAGAAATCCTAAACTCTACATAGGAAAAAAAAAACTGTATTTTCAACAAATGTATTGGACAAACTGTATAGCTAAATGTAGACATTCTGATGAAATTAGATGATTTTCTCTCTTTCTGTGAATGGGAGTGTTTCTACTGTCTTTGTTTTTAGAGCTGAGGACCAAATTCATGGCCTTGAACTTGTTTGATAAGCAAGTATTCTACAGTTAAACTAAGTCCCCAACTCCTGTTATTGATATTTACAAAGGCTATAGATTTTTGCAAATTAATCTTTGAAATCTATCATTTTTCTGGAATTTCTGGTCCTTTCTAGAAGTTTTCTAGTGAAATTTTTGTAATGTCTTATTCATGTGATTGGCAAATAATGTTAATTTTACCTATTTTCCTTTTTGTATTCTTTTAATATACCTCTTTTGTCATATAACTTTAGCTAGTTTTTCAAGTACTATATTGAAAAGAGTAGAAATAGTGAGTGGACTTATCTAGTTCATAATTTTAGTGAAATTTAAATGAGGTTGCTATCGGTGATGGCTGCTCGGGGAAGACAATTCAGTTTTATTCAGGAATGCGGCTCCTGAGAGGTGCTCTAGTAGGTGGTCTCCTATCTATGTACATACAACAGTGTATAAAAAATAAAAAATAATAATAGATTAGGGGAACACATTTACCCATTATGAGAATTGAAAGGGAAACAGAAAGGAAGGTTTTGGTCATTCCTCCATACATCTGCCAACGCAGTGTGAAGAAAATGGTTAATTGTGAAATTAGCAGAAAGTGCATGAAGCTTGGTTGAGTTAGGAAATTTGTGCAACATCCACACAAAACAAAGTGATGCTGGAGTCCTGTTGAAAGGTAGATATTGTACTACATTAATATCATCACCAGCCAAGCCTGTGTTGTGGCTGAGATGAATGTTGAAAACAAATAATTGTTTTCCCAACAACAATTCTTTCCCAATAAGAAAACAGAATATTAGTTACAAAGAAATCAAGATAATGATTCATGAACCTCATTGCAGACAGCTGTGGGAATTTTATAGCAGTAACAACAAGTGTTCAATAGGTCGACCCACCAGATGCATGATTCCCTGTTTGTGGCCCCCACTTAGCAAAGCCGTAGGGTTATTGAGGGTAAATGACTGGCTGTTTTCTGTCTGTAACTTTCTCAAGTGCCACTGCTATGCCTTCCTACAAAGAACAGCTATGGGGTTCTTTTATTTATTTATTTATTGAGACAGGGTTTCTCTGTATAGTTTTGGTGCCTGTCCTAGAGCTTGCTCTGTAGACCAGACTGGCCTTGAACTCACAAGATCCTCCTGGCTGTGCCTCCCGAGTGCTGGGATTAAAGGTGTGTGCCACCACCACCCGGTTAGCTGTGGGGTACTTTCCACAGCCCTTTGGTGATGTGTTT